GGTTGGTGCTGTTGTTGTTTTTGTTCTTTCCCTTTCCCGGGATGAACTTTCAGGATTCCTTTGGTTACGCCGGGGATTGAAGGGACGATTTCCTTCTTTATTTTTTCGCCAAGCGTTTGGTGGAAAAGTGCCCCGCCTTGGGGAGGGATTAGAACTTCCCCAGGGTTTTCGGGGTGAGAGGGAACCCCCTTAGCATTTTTGGATTTTTGTTTTTTTTTTGTTGTTGTTTTTTTTTTTTTTGTTTTTTTTTTTGGTTTGGGTTTTTTTTTTTTTTTTTTTTTTTTTTTTTTCACCCAGGTGGGGTTTGTTTGTGGGGTTAGTTTATTTTCCTTTTTTGTTTATTTTTTTTTTTTTTTTTGTTCAAAACGGTACCAGGCCTTTTTAAAAATTGATTTTGTTCCCGTTCCATAAAACTTTTAAATTGTTTTCTTCCCTTCTTCCCCCCCCCCCCCCGGCTCACCAACCCGCTGTATGCGTACCCAGCAACCCCGAAGAGGAACCCCCTTATTATCGCATACGTATACACGGTGAAGACAACAACAACAACAACAACAACAACAACAACATCAACAACATACACGGAACCCGAAAAAGGGAAACCACCGCCTCTTTGCGCTGTCTCTCAGGACGACCTGTTCTCCGTGCTTGGCGAGGAGCGCCGGCCCGACCACCGCTGGCTCATCGCCGGCCCCGCCCGCTCGGGATCCTCGTTCCACGTCGACCCCAACTGCACGAGCGCCTGGAACGCCACGGTGTCTGGCAGGAAGAAGTGGATCATGTTCCCCCCCGGAGAGACGCCTCCGGGAGTACACCCTAGCGAAGACGGGCTGGACCTGGCCGCTCCCGTGTCCATCACGGAGTGGTTCCTCAACTTCTATGAGGTATGTAAAAGTGTTCAAATGTCTGTTGTTTTGTTCCCTTTTTTCCCCTTTTTTTTCTTCAGGTTGTGAGTGGCCACCACTGTAGCCCACTGTTGTACCAGCTATAAGGTTGTCTACGGTGCATGTCCACGTGCGTACGTAGGTACCGCGCTTGTTTTCTCGGTTTTGCTCTTTTGCAGATTGGGACTGGCTCCCGGGGTACCCCACGTGTTGCTTCTCAAAAGCGTGGACGACGTCTCCCCAACGGATTTTTGCTTAATTTGTAATGAGCCGCGGAGCGAGCGAAGCGAGCGACATTTTTTCCCTTCGTTCCCAGGAGGGAAAAAAAGGCTCTAAATATCGGCCAACGTTCCGCCGCACGATACAGGGGCCCCAAAACTTGATTACGGGGAAGCCTATTTAGCACACCTTTGGGACCAGAACGAGATCTATAGGGCACCGATTGACGATCTGTTCGCTTCTGAGGAAGAAGAAAGATAGCGCGCTCTTCTCCACACCGGTTTCGTCGTGCTCCGAGAGCAGATGGCCGTGCTTGACCGGCATATGTAGCCTATATTCGTAGGAGATTTTGCCCGCCAACCCCGGGGTTTCTACGCGAAAAGGCGTGCACAAAAGCGGAGATCGCGCGCGCGCGCGCGATTCAAACCAGGACAAGAAATGCCGACAGAGGCGCAAGAACACCACCAACAAACGCATCATCACCGCTGAGGCGCTGGTCTGAGACCAGCTATGAAAACCAGGAGGGGCCGGGCCTGTACGACCTGTGCACCGTGGGTATACTGTAGGCATGCGCCATGTGTAACCTGGCGGGTGTGTATTGATGTTGAGTGGGTCCAGCCAACTGCTTCAAAAAGAGCAGACCGATGATCACACAAATATCACACCTTCCCACAAGTCCAGATCACACCTACCATCATCGAGATAATCCGTCGAGGGCGTGAGGGTCTACTACTGCTGCTGCTGTACGTTATCAGGATGGTTCCCCGCGGGATCGGTTCAGATTGCGTACTTGCGCCGCGCTACTGACTGTCTTCGCAAAGAAAGTCGTGCCCTGCATGCTGTTGTTGCTGCTGCAGGGCTGCAGCAGGCCCTCTCGGCCTCTCGCATCATAGTCATGACGTCACATGATCATCAACGGCTTTTTGTTGTTTTTGGTTCATGCTGGACTGCTTGCTTGCACTTGGGCGGGAACTCGGAAATCTTGAGACGAATGTGGCGGGCAACTTGTGAGCCTGACGCAATATTTGCCATCTGTCGTGTCACAATCCTATGTCTACGCTGCTGGTCGTGCTCCTCGACGGTGTGATGTGTGATACGCTCGCCGCCAGGGGGATGCCGCAGATGTGCGTGTCTGCGTCCGCACAGCGGGAAGACTTCACATTTTGTTTCTTCGTGCATGTGAATCAAATTGGAAAGAAACAACCGCACGTAAAGTGCAAAAATTTGAACGGTGGCCGCACATACAATCACCGTCGCTCCCGTCGCACGCCTGGTGTCCCTCTGTGGTGCACGCGTAGCTGCACCATAAACGATTCACGCTTGTGTGTGTCAGGATTCGTGCACCATCAGCATCGCAGATAAGACTACTGCAAGGTATTGAGTCGCACCACGCGGCTCATTACCCCCCCATACCTAATAGAATTGGATGCATGTGCGCACAGCCAAATCAAGTGAGTCAACGCTGCGTGTGCCTACGGTGGCACCGGTGTTGCATCTGTTCGGTCTCGGGGTTGTGCTACAAACAATCTCTCCTGTTTTCTCTTGGCGTGCTTTTTTTTGTGTTGCCGTTTTTTTTTTTTTTTTGCACTTTTCGCGGCGTGTTTGTGCCGCCAGGAATGCCACGCGCCCACGCGGAGAGTGCGCCCTCTGGAGTGCGTCGTGTCTGCAGGGGAGGTGGTGTTCGTGCCCATGGGGTGGTGGCACTGCGTCCTCAACCTCGAGTGGTCCGTGGCGATAACCCAGAACTTCGTCAGCAGGGTGAATCTTCCGCACGTCGTCAAGTGAGTTTGTTGTTGCTGCTGCTGCTGCTGCTGCTGCTGCTGCTGCTGTTGCTGCTGTATTGGTGCTGTTGTGTTGCTCCCGTGCGTGTGTTGTCATAACAGCCCGGGGGTAGCCCCGGCCTCAACTGAAGCCCTTTCTGTTTTTGTCATCGGGTTCGCAAAAAAAGAAAGGGTCGTCACCGAAAATAAATAAATTAACGTGTCACGCCCAAGAACAGCAACTGGCTACAACAGTATATTGTAGACGGAAGTAAGGAGAGTGCTCTCCTCGCATGATGCGCATTATATCTCTGTGGAAGAAGAGATCGATGAGAGACACAAAATTATATATACATACATGCACGCTCGCTCTCCGTACACTACCATCAGCGTTTGTTTGCCAAGTTAAACACATGAGATCATATATTCACAGTGTGCAAAGCGAAAGAGGAGCTGCATTGTAGTGCGACTTGCGCAGCAGCTGCTGACAACCCGGCCTCACGCCTAGCACCTCCAAGACAGACGCGTAAAACTGTCCGTCAGGGCGAGGATTGATTGTCGTCCGAAGGCGTTCCGGACGAAAAGAAAGGGGGTGGGTGTGGTTTTGGGGGGTCGAGGCATTATCTCGCCTCCACGTCGCGGCAGTGTGAGTTGTCGGGGGGGTTATTTTTGTTCGGCAGCACAAGCAACCGGAGACAATGAATGCCAACATGATAGCGACAGCCGCGAAAGCACAAACAAGCCTGGCGTAACATGATGCATGCTTTGTTGCACGTGTAGTGTGTGTGTGTGCCATGTGAGGCATCTTTCAGGCATTGTTGACTGGGCTGTGTCCAAAGTCGTCGACTTTCGTGCATGATTCTGAACCAACCGTGGACGTGCATCCTTCCTGTCGTGGGTGCGGCGGTACTTGCGACCAGTGGGGGTAAAACTGGGGGGTAATGATGAGGGAGGGGTGGTTCGGTTGTTCGCGCACGGGGGAGATCTACGAATAGGACATACAACAACGGACGCGTTTTCACAAGCTGACACAAGCGTTAGCACCAAACTCGCAGGCGGAGCGGAACGGGCCAGGAGGGACACCTCTTCCAACCCACACGAACATCTGTCGATGGAATCTCGAGAAACATTGACCGAAGAAAAACAACTTGGTTTTAGAGAAGAGACCGGAGATCGCCCACTCTAAAACCAAGTGAATATGCAGAGAGTGGGGGCACTTTTTGGTAGGGTCGGAAAAAGTGGGGTCGTTTTCGAATATAGGTTCTGAGAATGTAGGCGACAGAAACTGAATCCCTATCTGGCTTCAGAATTGCTGTTATTGTGGCTGTTGTCGTTGTTGTGTTATTGTTGTTCAGGTGTGTTTATCATTGCCGTTGTTGTTGTTTCGTGTTTTTTTTATGAACATTGACCTCCAACGTTTCTGGCTGGCCAATTGAAAAAACAACACCGCCAGTCTCACCACCGGAACAACAAACGTGTCCTGCCCGTCCGTTTGTCTGTCCTCTCCCTCAAACCTCTGGGCCGACAAACCAGGTTCCTCCTCACCCAGAAGCACCTGATCTCGGGCCTGCCCCCCGATCAGAGGGACGACCTCGGAGAGAGCTTCGTCACGGCGATGTCCGAGCAGCGCCCCGATCTCGGTGTAAGCGAGATTGCAGAGCGGGCCACCGCTAGTACGACGGCTGCCGCTACAGGTTTCGGGGGCTCCGGCGGGGGCATGGTGGCGAACGGGGGAGAGTCGTGCCGGAACGGGGGTACCAGCAAGAAGAGACAGAAGTTGTGGGACAAGCTCAAGCAGGGCGGTGGTGGAGAGGCGGTTGGCGTTTCCGATGCGGGAGGGGCGAGCGAAGACGGCGGCGGTGGCGGGCGTGCCGCGGCCGTCAATGGCGGGGACGGGTGTGCCGAAGGAAGGAGCGAAAGCGCGAGCAGCGGCGGATTCAGTTTTGGTTTCTCGTTTTCATAGCCATAGATGGGCCCGAGAGAGAGGCACGCGCGTCGAGGGTTGTCCTCCTACCACAGCGAGCGGGCTTTTGTACGGCGAGGAATCGGGTGTTTTGTTTGGTCGCTCGTCGTGGATTGGTTGGGGTGGCATGTAGACGAGAAAAACTGCTTTGGCGACTTCGCTACGTGTTTTCGGTGTATCTATTTGCGCACCTTTCTTTTGGTTCAACCTAACAAGGCCATAGACAATAACGTTGCACTTCGCGCGGTCCTTGAACGCTCTCGACGTGCATGCATTTGGCTTGGGCGCATGCGACGACCTGCTGGCTCTGCAGACTGCGAGGTCCATGTTCAGCCAGAGGGGATGTTACTCTTGCCGCCTGCGCTTTGCGGCGCGGGTATCGGGTTTTATCCCGAAGCCCATTTCACTGATGTAGCCAAAAGCAAGCATGCCCTTTGCCGCTAACCGTAACCTGTAGGCGCCGCCAGGGGACCCGTCATTGATGAGATATCTCTTTTTAATCTGCTTCCATCTCTGTTCGTTAGGGAATCTGCAAGCGCAAGTCGACACGCTGAGGTATTAGGCCGCTACTATTCATCCCCAACGGGGATCATGTTGCAAGAACGAACCGAGACACGGGCCCACTACAAGTACGGTCATCGACTATGCATGGCCCGGAGGTACATGAAGAACCGTTCTCGACAGACGTTGTGGGACTGGGACCTCTTTCAAAAGGCAACATCCAGGGTAGCCCCCTCCCCCGTCCCTTTTCTCGAGCCGTTCTTGCTTGCTGGACAAGAAGGCTTCTAGGGGCGATGCCAATGTGACAAGGGGGAACTATCTTCCACAGACGTTGGGAAGATGAGACCTTCTCGAAGGTCGCCTGCACACGAAGGCCCTTTGAACCCTCCTAGTACCCAGTCCCTCCGCAAAATAAAAATGCCGAAAAATGTTTGTCAGCCAGTGGTCGAGGGGCTACAGTCCCTCCAAATAATCTGAGCTCCTTGCCAGACAAAGAGTGACTTGGCTTCAGTATGAAAAGTGTCCCCACGTGTTTTGGGGACACTTTTCATACTGAAGCCAAGTCAGCAAATTTTCCAGTACCAGCAACCAGGCGAGCCAGGCGATGTACAGTTTTGCGAACTGGGGGGCACGCGGGTTGGGAGATGTGTACAGCAAGTCAGAGGCCCAGGAGAGGCATCACAAAGCATATCACACAGCGTACCACCTCAGCCAACCATGATAGACCAAGGGTTCTCACGTTCGTTGCATACAGCGGAGCCTAGGGTGACTACAGTCCGGTAATAGGCCTTTGAGTGCTGTGTCCCAAAGTGTCCCCATTTGGGCTTCCAGTACTAGGAGGGTTAAAAGGTGAATCAGTATCTGGTCCTGTGGAGGTCGGATGTGGAAATTCAGGAAGCACCAATGGAAATAGCCAGCCTCGGGTAGCGGGTCATAGCCAGGACTCTCCGCTCACCAAGAGTAGAGGACTCCATAGTCCTCACATTTTCTTTGGTTTTCGTGGGACGGCCCTTGCGAAGCCGCTGGCAAGAAAGAAAGAGGGCTTCAGTTGAGGCCGGGGCTACCCCCGGGCTGTTTTATTTATCTAGTCCACAGTCCACAAAACGATGCCCCGCACCCAGTCCCTTGGGCAGCAATCCAGCAACTGGCACACCAATCGCGACACGCTTTTTTTTAATTTACCGTAGAGTTTTTTCCCCTCTCGTGGTCCTCCTGGTACTTGCGTTTGGCTCACTGAGAACCCCCGACGTGAGCGGGCCAAGACGCCAAAAACAAAATCAAAGCGAGAAAGAGTGGCGCCTGTCCCTCATGAGGATGCCACAGTCCACCACCACCACCACCGTGCCAGGCACACCACAAAAGCTAACCAGACTCTGGATACGCCAACGCGACGACGGCCGCGGCGCCCCGCAGTCTGTACCAACCACTTCGTCGGTGGCGCTGCTGTCACCCGCAACCACGTCATACACACCGCGAGCCACTACTGTTGGTTCAGGAACGTCAGGTTGATGTGCGCCACGCCAGCGTCATCACTAGAAACTGGGCAACGAAGGTCTGATCAACTTCTGTTGGTGTCCTCTTCCTAATCATTTCTGTAGCGCTCTTGCCTTCTCCTCTTCCGTAGCAACGTCATCCGTGATACACACGTCGGAAAATTATTCGCTATTTCACGCAAGCCGAGGCTCGGAGACACTCCTCCGAAACACATACTTTTATTTCACTCAATACCTGGGGCGCGGCGTTCTATTTGGACACCAGAAATTACAGTACGTTCGCCACCGTCAGGGAGGAGCCGCTTTTATTTAGCACCGCGCCGCGTTCTACTAAGGCCCCTGCCATAGTATACACGCATGGGCGTAGTGCTAACACATGCAAGGAAAAACACCAAATACCCACACAACACTTAAAGACTCGAAGCTCTCTTCCTTTGCAACTTTATCCCTAATGACATCATACATCATCCATCCGTGGCTCTGTCTACATCATCATGTCATACATGAGCGAGGCAGCCGACTCCTCTTCGGGCTCTTGCGTCAGGACCACGTCCATGGCGGTCAAGTCCACCACGTCGCTGTCGTCGCCTTCCTCTTGAACCCCCGCGCTGCGCCCCCTCCCACCACCATCACCGCCACCACCACTACCGCTACCACTTTTACCACACCCAACAACACCTCGGCCGCGATCCCCACAGACACCGCCAACAAGCTGTCCAACGGTAACGGGGGCCTCACCGTTAGTGCCCTCCGACGAGGAGAAGCCAGCTTCGCCCGAACGGTCACGGGCGGCGTTGTCGCTCGCCGGCTGGCTACTCACGGACGAGGACAGGTCAGCGGTGGGGGTGGCGTGACGTACGGTCAAAGGAGGAGGGGGGGTCACAACAGCGGACGGCTCGTTGCGCTGCCGGTGATTTCGTACGCCCTCGTCGACGACGGACAAGGGCCGTCTGACGCCGCCACCGCCGCCGCCGCCGGCCGCAGTTTTGCTACAGCTACCGCTGAGGGTGCCATCGCTACCGCTGCCGCCGCCGTTCTCCGAACCGCCTCCCCAGTTCGCTAGGGGCACAGCTTCTACCTCCATCCCCACGGGGGAGCTCTCGGCTTCCGCCGACAGCAGGCCGCCGCCGCCGTCGCCGCCGCTACCTCCAGGTGCACCTTGAGCCGCAACGGCCGCCGCCATTTCCTTAGCCCGCCGTCGCCGGACACTCGCCTGATGTCTCAATACTGCCGCCCTCTCCTTCTCTTCCCGCACGAAGCCCGGGGCGCTCGCGAAGAACTTTCGTGGGATGGTTCCACCCAAGGAGCCCCCCCCCGCCCCCATACCGGCAGCAAGGAATGACGGACGAGGGCAACGGGGGGAACAGAATGCGGAGCGGTTGACAATGCGGAATAATGGACATCGATGAGAACGGTGTCGAGCGCAAGGGGGAGGGCACCATACGACCGCGACGGGGGGTTGCTTTGAGGGTGATCGATCTCTTCCGGGTGGGCATGGAGATAGGTGCAAAGATGCTGTGGACCGAAATGACAAGAAAGAAGAGCAGCAGCTGCGTCCAGAGAGAGAAGAACGCATCATGAGAGAATACGAGTTTTGCTTCGAGGAGGGATAGCTTCGTCTCCGACCCTAAAAAAAAAACAAACACTGCTGTTGGGTGTTGCATGTGACGACCTGATGCCTGTCATCATCACTGCATCAGGCACCAAACGTCTGCGGAACACGTCCCTACTGTACCACGAAAATACGAAACACGCAAGGGACAACAGCCGTGGCAACGTTCGACTTTCGAACCACTTTGAGACGTAAAAAATAAACGGCACAGAAACAAACGACTTTATTGCGGGGGACTCCTACTAAGGCGGAGCACTGGGAACCGTCGAGAGCACTCCAAAGGCACAGCCGACTAAGTAACAGTCTTCGCAGGGTCGGACTTGCGCCACATGCACATACATGAAGTTTCTCACACACAAAAGCGTCATGAGGTAGCTTCACCTGGTCCATCGTGCCCACCACGTGCTCAAAGCTCGGGTAGTCGCCGCGGAGGTCGCGCATCCACTTCGCGAGGAACTTCACGTGCTTCCATTCGCCAGCGCGAATGCGCTCGTCGATGAGGCATACCACCCCATAGTCGTAGACGTGACGGATGCACCTCCCGAGTGCCTGGGAAAAAATCGCGGGGGAAACGAAGCTGTCACGGCATGCCACCCACGAATGCAACAACCATCGCAAAGGGCGGTATCTGTTCACGAGAGTTCACGCCAAGATCGATTAGATGGAAAAAATATATATATACCTGTCCCTTACCCCCCATTCCCATACGCACGCATAACCTTCGCAGACGAGCCTCGGGCGGCAACACGGAACCCACCTGGTTCTGGGCTCGATACGCCTCCTGGGCGTACCAGTTCGAGCCGCTCAGCAGCGCCTTCCCGGCCTCGTGTGCCGCCTTCGCCGTCGCCTTCGCCGCCGCCCTCGAGGCTGCCATTTCCGCCGCCGCCGCCGCCGCTTCCGCCTCCGCCGCTTCCGCCGCCGCCGCCTCCGCCGCCGTCTCCGCTGTCTCCGCCTTTACCGCAGCCATCTCCGCCTTCACCGCAGGTTCCTCCCCGGGCGCTGCTAAGGACACCGCTGCCTCCCCGTCCTCCGATACCTTCGGGGGCCCCGAAGCTACAATCCGCGCCGGTCTACCCCCCCCGCCCCCGCCGCCGCGCTCCCCAACAACAGCCCCCTCGCGGTCGCCGACATCGCCGGCGGCGCTCCTTTCGCCAACGGCTCCTGCTCCTGCTCCGCCACTGCCGGCGGCGGAGCAGACGGCGGTGCCACCGCCTACTACGCCGCCGCCGCTGCTGCTGCTGCTGCTGCGGCCTTGATTCGCGGCGGCGCTCCCGTAGTTGTGGTCGCCGGCCGCGCAGACGTCCGGCCACGACCTTCGACCGGCTTCCCCGCGGTCCTTGGCCTCCGGCTTCCTCCCGAGACTCTTCCAATCGTTGTAGCATTTCTTCGCCACGATCTTGGGGTCCCCCAGGTTGGGGTAGGGGATGCCTACGCACAGCACCCCCCTCGCGTAGTGGTCGTTGAAGCTGATGCCCTGAGTGGTTGAGGGGGGGGGGGGGTACAGCTTTAGTTGCCGCGTGGATTGAGATGAACACCTTGCGGTGCACGTGGTGAAAAAATCGGTGGCTTAGGGCCTGCTAAGACGGCTGTGTGGTGTGTGGTCAAGAACAGTTCCCTGGTGGTTTTCGCATTCATGCTATATTGCTTCGTGTTCAGCGAAAGTCACATTTGCTGAAAAGAAGTTTTCGAAAGAACAACAAAGTTCATGGTAGGCTATTGAACACATGTCAGCAGTCTATACGATCAAGTGTTGACGTGCTAAACGACGGCAGTCAGTAGCACAGCAGTGAGCAAGCAAGGCAACAAAGGCGTGTGCCACGGCTTAGTGTCGTGTGTGAGGAGGTATACTGCTGTAGACATGAGTGTGCAAAAAAATTGAAACGGCTGGGCCGTATCACGGAGTATACTGAAACCCGTATACATTGGTTTACGCTAAGAAGCCGCTCATGACATGTGTGGCATTGTATAACTGTGTTGTATCCATGAGAATACCTATGACAACAGTTTATCGAATGGTACTGATATTTTCAGCAGCAAGCCAGTACGCCGAGCAGTGATGGGTCGAAAGTCATGAATACGTAGCGGGTCATGGTGCGTAGCGCTGGAATCCCTTCTCAGCCAATTCCTTTCGATTTGGACCTAGAGAGTTGGGTCCACCTGGCATTGGAAACGTGCAAAACAAACACAAGCTGGGCCGGATAACAGACTAGGTTTGAGACATCCAACCATAACTCTTGGAAGGAACCCAGGCACACCTGCTTAATCAGCCATACCACAGCGGACTTGAAAAAGTCTCTCAAAACCCCTATATTGGCACGCTGTCTCAAAACGAAGAGAACCTTCCGCTTTCTACAAAAACAAAAAAAGATCACGGCGACAATTACAACAACAGCAACCGGGGAGGAACCAAATCTCTTGCGCGCACCTCACTCATTTTCCCGCGGTACACGGCGAGGAGGATGGCGCTTCCGCCGGCGCTCCCGCGCCCCCTCCCCCTCCCCCCGGGGCCCCCGTCGACTGCGTCCTCGTAGCGCCGCTTGGCGGCCTTGAAGTCGGCGGCCGCCTCGGGCTCCTCGACGATGACCCCCTTGATCCTCTCCAAATCCGCCCAGACCTGTGCCGTGCCATATGCCCAGACGACGGCGTTGGGGAGGGTGTGGTGCGTGCGGAGTACTTCAGACAGACTGGACATGTGTGGACGTTATTCTTCAAGGCACACGGGGGGCGGCCTCCAGCACAAACAAGCGTGTGCGGGAGGGAAATATAGAACCTTCTTTGTCGAACGTTGGAGGAAGAAACTGGCATTTATTGCGAATCGGGCAGGCTGGGAATGTGTGAACGCTGGTTTTCAAGAAACAAGGGCGGCGTCTTACAGCACAAACAAGAGAAAAACGTGTATATTCGGGGAAAAGTTTACTTTCCTGGGAATTCATCTCGATCCTGACGCCCGTCGTGCATATGTAGGCAGGCAGTCCCAATCCGTCATCGTCGCCAACGAGAAGTGCTTACAACCTTCACACCCGCTTGGTGCGGGAGATGAGAGGACAGTCGTATGCATACCAATATTTCGCAGGGCACGATCAAACGGACCAAGTCGCCTTCGAGAGTCCCCTGCATACGCATAGGTACCTCTTCTTCGATGCCACCCCGGGGTCATACGGCCTACCGCCTCACGAAACCGTCAAAGTTACCTGAAACCCCACCCGCCGGGTGTAAGTCGGGTAGGTCCTCCAGCCGCGGGGGAGGAGGGAGGGGGGGGGGGGGGGCAGGAGGCCTCATCCAATACAATACTTACATCAAGCGATCGACAACCGTGTCAAGGATACCACAGTCAGGTTTGGGAGCCACAATCAGATGGAACCAGTTCCGGTCCGGCACGGAACGCTTCCCGCTTGCATAGTGCCCCGCCCACCACGTCGGCACTCTTCTATTTGGAACAACAAGAAACTCTCAAAAGAACGGACAAGAGCAGGAAGAGCCAAAAAAGGAGATCAGACCAAGGCTATCTGTAGCAAGCGCTCGTTACCGACAAACGCGGCGTGTCCGCCCGCCGTGGCGCCGCGGCAGCGGCCAGCGGCGCGGACAATCGGTACCAACGCGGGTCCCGTCACCCTCTCTGCTTCTCCGCTGCCAAACGTCGACCCTGCCGCCCGCTTCCGACTACAGGACTTCCTTCCTTCCGACGGGACCATCGTTCTGGGCCTGAAAAAGTCCAAGGCTGCTGGCGTGCTACCATCGTACCTACCTATGTATTAAGAGCACTTATTAAGGGCCGCAAGGTCTGTCGAGGCTAATACCGTGCCTGGCTGGCTTCCGGAGCACGGGGGCGTAAGCCTACAGGCAGGCCGTCTATCGGCGGCGACTGTCAAGCTCGCGCCTTTGTAGAGACAAACGGTGCCGCCCGTCGTTGGCCCTGAACAGCTACTACGCGGTGGCGCAAAAGAGCAGTGAAACCATCGAACGAGTGGCAGCGAAGGAGAACCACCCCGGGAAATTCCGCTCGCACCCGTCGGGACGGGGGTCGTGTGGCTGACCTAGCGAACTCGACGCTAGCTCAGCCACGACCGTCTTCCAGAGGTAAGAGCGGATTTTCCCGTGGTGCGCCTGCTTACGTGCCGCGTAGGATCGTTTCGCTGCTCCTTCGCGCAGCGTAGGTGTTGGGAGTCAGGGACGGGTGACACCTTTGTCTCTCCTAAGGCGCGAGCTTGACCGTCGCCTCCAACAGACTACACACCGTGGGTTGCATAAGATACCCCATCCCCCCTGGACCGATTTTTCGGAAGCTCCACTACTCTGCAGCAAGCTCCACTACTCTGCAGCAACAATACAACGGTGGCGGCGGTGCCGAAATGGCGGCGTTAGCAACCGCCTCGTCGAGGGCTTTCCGAAGACGCATGGTGCCATCTTGGCGCCCTCTTTCGTTGTGGAGTAATCGAGCTTCGAAAATCTGTCCGTCCAGAGGGGGGGTACTCTCATGTTTTGCATGCCTTGCATGCCTTAGCGGTTAGACCATTGACCACGCGTCCTCGAGAGGACGGAGCATTGTTCCCACAGGACCGATCACCGATGGCCAATCGTTGCATCCAGGGGGTGTGGTATCTTTCGTAACCTAGGCCGTGCTCCGGTTCGCCTTGACAGACGTGGCGGGCCCAAACACTGCTAAACTCGATCGTAGAAAAGGAACATCTTGGACTTTTCAGACACTAGTCCCATCGCCGACGTCGGAACGAAGGAATCGGAGGCGGGTGGCAGGGTCGCAACCCTGGCAGCAGAGAGGAGGATGGTCCAGGGGACGGCGTAGGCGCGGAGTTTGTCTCTGCCCCGTGGGAGTCGAATACGAGTGCGTGCTAAAACTTGCATGGTCTCCGACATAATGTTTTCCTTTCCTTCCGTCCTTCGTTTGAAGACCTTTTGGTTGTTCCAATCAAAGAGACAAGTGTCAACGGGGACGACTACAGATGTCAAGTAGCGCTTGGGGGGGCGGGGGGGGTGTACTCATAGTCGTGCATGCCGTAGTCGTTTGACCATTGACCTCGCATCCCTACAAAGCCGGGACGGAGCACGCCGGGTTCTCACCGGACCAGGCTCTCACATCACCAAGCGCGAAGCGCCGTGAGGTATTTGGCGAGTCGCATGAAGGGTGAGCTGCATCCTGCTAAGGGTGTTCGGCATCTTGTGCTTACTTCCTTGCGTACGGATGACAGCTACGTATGACTTAATTTATTTTCTGGTGCTTTCACTTCCAGAGACAGTTGTAAGCACTGTGTAACTGCCTCGAGGGTGCTTGACCATTTTAACACAACGTGGTGCGATCATCCCCCGTTGCGCGGAGTGAGGGTCCTCCACCCCGCACAACATGATCTACTCGACCACCATTATGGTTACCGCCAAAAAAAAAAAAACCGAGGTAAAAAAAAAAAAAAAACGGTAACCTGGTTGCCGAGTTCACGAAGTGAATTGGCTTGTTTTACAACGTCGTTGCCAAGCGACGAAAACCCAATCCCGATGGCAAACACCGAGCGGGGGGCTTGTTTTACAACGTCGTTGCCAAGCGACGAAAACCCAACCCCGATGGTAAACACCGGGGGGGGGGGGGG